GTATTGTGCTCCGATTCTCTTCGATCCCGACTCCGCAGCCGAAGAAACCCATTCAGTAGCGAGAAAAGGTGGTACAGAATACTCTGTCACCATTCGAGCGTTCTCGACAGCGACCGACCGGCTTTCCTGTAAAGAACCGCTGTGTCGACGGGAAATTTTAGGGCAGAGAATACTTTGATGTGCCGAGCGTTCTCAATTTGCCGAACAACTTTCTCAACGACTGGTCAGTTGCCGCATACCGCTCCTGCCGCACCAGCAATAGCCAGAGGATATCTCCGTCGAGTGTTCTTGACCGCTACAGGTTGCAGCAATTACTGAAATTCTAATCGGTCTCAACGCAATAGCACAGGATAGAGATTTCTCTATCTCTGCCGAGTGGCAGAGACCATCGAGTACCGCTTTGCACATCCGCGTGTTTCCCCATTGCGTCGGGGAAAACGCCCGCCGGTATACTGTGTCGCAAAAACAACCGCGATTTGAGCATGGTGTATACCCGTATTTACGCGAATCAATCAGCGAAGCGTCGCGCCGCGCCGCACAGCTGATCGCCGCTCTGCGTTCGGCATGACTCGCGAACACTGCGTACTGAAAAACTCGTTTGTGATGATACTGAGCCAGACAGAAACATATATATACAGAGTGTCACATATAACTGTGATCACGATTTTTCCGACATTTCCGATAATGTAGCAAAAATTATTTTGAATAAAAGTTAGTCAGTTTTCAATCGACTATAAATTGCAATACTAAAAATTTGCAAAATATTTTTTTTTAGGAAAAAATTAAGTTCATTCTAATTTTTTTAAATGTAATAAAGGCATTGAATACTTTACTCTTCCATTTCCTACTTTACGATTGCTAACCAGCAAACGAGAATTGAAATGAATTGAAATGGATTCAAATTTTCAGAAATATTGATTCACAAATGTTAAAATGAATGCTTTTCAATGAATGCATTTTTATTCATTTATAGGAATTGCACGGAGCATATCTCTATGTCTTTCAATCTAAAAATAATATTAGCTTTTTCTGTGTATTGTGAATACTGTTCAATTCAAAATTTTGAAAAGGAAATGCAGTTTTTCAATCCAATTGCATCCAATTGAATTTAATTGAATCCAATTGAATCCAATTAAATCCAAAAAAAGTATTCGCTATTTAAATACGCATTCGGATAGAAAAAAATTTTAATCCATTTTAATCCATTCTCGTTTGCTGAGTACGTAGATGATATTGCAATGGGAATTCCATCTGAAAACATTTTAAAAATATTACAAATTTTCAATTCATTTCAATCTTCGATTACAGTTTACAATTGAAATTGGTGAGGATAGATTAAATTATTTAGATATCACTATTATCAAGAATAACAATATCAAGAATAATATAGCTCTTGAATATATATGATTGATATCATAAGTCTACTTTTTCTAGTAGGTATCTGAATTTCTTTTCTGTTTCGCAAAAGCATCCTGTTTCGTAAAAGAGAGATACGATCATAGGAATGATTAATAGAGCCTTTTGTTATCTCAACTTAAATATCATCAAAAGAACTTGACTTTTGTCATTGATACTTTTAAATAATAACTATAATTGATTTTATTTCTAACACAATTAATGAGCGCCTAAAATCTTTATTGAGTTATAAAAGCTTAAAACAAAGTACGAATGATACTTCTAATGAAGATATTGTTAAGAAGTCATGATTTACGATTCCATTTGTTATGGAAATCATACAAATTTAAATTCAAGGACATAATAAAGATCTTGATGTTGACCTTGAATTTTTTAGCCTAAACAAGCTCAATATTTTTATTAAAACACATAAGGATTCTTTACTTAATAAAACAAAAAAAAACGTAGTGTACAAGATATATAGCAAGGATTGCGATGCCTCCTATGTCGGGCAGATAGGAAGGATTTTAAAAACGAGAATCTCGGGAATTGTAATGACATCTGAAAGAACATGAGTAATCATTCTGTTATTACCGAACACAAATTGGATCTCAACCATGATTGGGAAGGCAAAGAAATGGTTGATCAAGAACAATTTTTGTACAAACGACGTATCTCAGAAATGTTACATATTCAGTTGCAAAAAAAAAGTCTTAATTTACAATCTGATACCGAGTTTTTATATTATTCGTACATCTCTCCTTAATAATTTACACTGATTAAAATTGCCGTTTTTGTTTTTATTATCTTTAAGTAACAGTCTGACATATGTTGGTAATACCGTTCATTTTATTTATCAGTTTGTACACTGTATATTATCTTTTGACTCACTTGAATATTAACCGTCACAATAATCGGAACGTTTGTAGCGAATTTATATCGCATAATAAAACAAATTATATCGAACAATTTGCGGATCTTTTGACTTTGATTATTTTTTTATGTTCATGTCTTTCATGGTTATATAGGTGAGCATTAATTTTTCTTTATAAAAAATAGTGATAACATTTTTAATATCTGTACAAATTTTCATCTGTTATTCATTGCTACTGGAACTGTCAATCATTGCCAATAGAATAAGGATTGAGTTGCCATTCTGACGCTATGAAAAAGTGAGAGATTTACAATATATGTTCAGACATACTGATGATGGCTACCGATGAAGGCAAGTCGGAAACGTCTGTGCATAATTAATTACACTATAATTTTTCGACAATAAACGATTTTCGCACTAATAATCGCGCATAAAACTCTTATATCTATTAGCCCTTTATTTTTATATTTTTTAAATGGCACTACGTTATTTTTTACTTCATAATATTGTAACTGATGTCAAAACGAGTGCAATGACTTGCTATACTATGACCTTGAAATGACTTTAAAGTCAGACGTGTGAGATTAATGAACGGAAACATTTTCATAAAAAATTATTTTGTATTAAACTTTACATGTTTTTTATTACATTGTTCAGAAAAAATGTACCTACAGATAAATTAAAAAACCAACGTAACCATTTCTGAATTCGTGATATTCCCGAATGTATTGTAGTTTACAATTTATTACACATGTGTATGTAAACGTAGAAAAAATGTCAACATAACTTGTAACGTAACTCGAATGCTATTATGACCTTATTTATACTTGTATTCTTTCTTAGGTTAACATTAGAGCAAATCGTAGTCTCAATTTGTCGAAAATATATTTCTATAATGAGAAAGTTGATATGCAGCTAATAAAATTTTTTACTACTGTAGAATATGTTTATAAAAAATTTAATACAAATAAAATAATTTTTCAAAACGTTTCCGTTTATTAATTCCACACATCTGACTTTAAGGTCATCTCAAGGTCATAGTATAGCAGGTCATTGAACTCGTCTTGACATCATTACAATATTATGAAGTAAAAAATATTGTGGTATCATTAAAAAAAAATTAAGGTGATCTTGACTTTTCTCCTAAAAAAGAAGACTTAACAAATTTTTAGTATTGCAATTTATAATCGATTGAAAACTGGCTAACTTTTATTAAAAATAATTTTTGTCACATCGAAAATGGCGGAAAAATCGTAATCACAGGAATATCCTATATATTCACACACAATTTTATTACGGCGCATACACGCATGCGCGCACACGCATACACACACACATTCGAGCCTATGATAACATTCCTGTCTGGTATTCCGGCCAAATCGCATAACTTCTGTATTCAATTTATATAAACGTCTAAAAATTTTTTTATCTATAGAAACATCTAAAAATGTTTATTATTGTAATGATTTATCAAATATCATAAACAATATCTTGTGGTTTTATGTCTCTTCTTTTTGTAAGTTTTAATTTATAAATCACAATAAAGTGGTTTATAAATCAACAAAACAACATTTGTTACAATTATATATTTCAATTTATACATATTATCTCATAACCACAATAAAGATTTCTTTATTTTATTGTAAATGACACCGCTCTTTTTTTTTTGCATCTCATCTCCCGCGCGAAGCTCTTTTGCATTTCAATCGATCAGAAGCCGACGAGCTATTCCGTGCAAAAGTCAAATATCAGTTACACGTCCATCGATAATTGTCGGTGTCGATAACTAATATAGCCAATAACAAAGACTATCCTAGGAAAAAAGACGGTTTTTATTGGCTGTCGCTACTTAACGATACTGACAAGTATCGATAGATATGTAGAGAATATGGACCCTGGTGTTAGTTGTGACATTATATAGTGCATGTGAATAGAAAATAAGTTTCATCCTCAGACTATTCACTAAATATTAAAATATAATTTTGGACAAATTAGTATTTTATAACTGCATAATACAACTTATTTCCACTTAAAAATTTTATTTTCTGATAGATATACATTTAAACGTGATGAATTTGTTAGTATTTGGAATTGTCATTACTAACATGAATTAATCCTCACTGCTTAAAATAAATTGATCATTATATTTGGAAAATTTGGCATTATTAAATCATTATAGATCCTTTTCTTTAAAGAAAGTCTAAATTGTGAAGTATTGATATAGAAATATATTTTTAGAGAGAGATAAATTTTTCTGTCTTAGTAGAAAATGTTCCTCTGATTATGCCTAGATATGTAATTCCAACTAGAAATTTGTTCGCGTTGCTCCAATATGTTCCTGCTTCCTTCAACCGTAGCTATTATTCACTCAAACACACTCGTAGAATGAATAGAAACATGTTGAAACATGTTGGAGTATGCGAATCGCACTTGCTTTCCAAATCATTTCAAGATTAATGGAAGCATATTTAGAAAAAAAAATTTCTTATTGTTTGCGTGTAATCTAAATCTGTAATAAAAAAATATTTAAAAAATTGAATATCTGGTTTAAATAGTCAATTTTCGGTTGGAACCAGAAATTAAAAATATCATTGTTCGATAGAGCGTACCCAATTTGTTTATAACAATATTTTGAATATTCTTTTTTAAAAAATATTTTTCCTCATTTTAAAAAGGATTCGAGTGATCTCAGACATCTTATATAATATATAAGAAAATATTAATTGCCTACCGGCGTTACGACGACACAATGCCATGTCACTGACAGGAGTCCATTGATTTGTCTCCGGATTAAATGCTTCTACGCTTTTTCGTACTAGTGGACCATCATGACCTCCTACGGCGTATAAAACACCATCTAGGACACCAACACCTGCACCACTGCGACGTGCGGACATTTCAGGTACAGGTTTCCATTGATCCTTCTCCGGATTATAACACTCAACACTAGAAAGACATTGACGAGATTCTCCATCGTAGCCACCAACCTAATTGCAAAATCTCTCTATATTAAACATGTAATACAGATGATGTCTTCGAAGTAATATTTGATATAAACTTACGGCGTAAAGCAATCCTTTGACAACACCGACTCCTACACTACTACGCCGTGTTGACATTCGTGCTACTGGTCTCCATTCGCGAGTCCGTGGATCATAAACTTCAGCCGAATTTAATCCTGTCGAACCATCGAAGCCACCAACCTATATATATAAAATATCGGTTAAATTTTAAATATGATTTACATTAATAAATAACATAAGACAAACAGGATATATAATGTATTAGGTGTTGGAATTAATTCGTAGCGTTTTACAAGTGATGGGAAGTATTTTCATTAATGTATTTTTTAATGCTCATGTGAAATAAATAACATTCTTTCATTAAAAACGCTACGAATTAATTCCAACACCTAATATAATAACGTACAGCGTAAACGCAATTGCCGAGTACGGCTACACCGAGCGTCGATCTCCTCGCCTCCATCTCGGGACAGGGTGACCATTGATCCGCTGCAGCATCATAAATATCAACTGTTCGTACTCTCAATGATCCGTTAAACCCACCAACAGCGTATACGCGTCCGCCAAGAACACAGAGTCCTATAATCCAATACAGTATAATCCAGAACTGTCCAAGGTCAGGGTTTTTTGGCTTGAAATCGAAATGTGTCGGTATTCACACCTATTACTGTTTTTACTTCTTACTTCATTGTTGTTTTGTTGTAGCGCGCGATGCTCGTGCTCAGAGACTAGTTTGAAATTGTTAAAAGTTTTTATCTATTATTTATATTAGGTGTACAACTTTGCTTCCGCCGTTTTTTTTTCGAAATTCGAGACTTTATTGTAAAAAACTAGTTGTATATTATGATTATATCATGATTTTGTCCATCGCTGACCACTACTTTCTCCCATCTTTCAGGCAGCGTACGAATCCCGCGTTGAAAAAACTGGTCATCTTTTGAGGCGATCCACGAATCAATTCAACTTTTTATTTCTTCATAAGACCGGAAGTGCTGGTCAGCCAGGCCGTGTGCCATTGATCGAAACAAGTGATAGTCAGAGGGAGCAACGTCTGGAGAATACGGCGGGTGGGGTAGGACTTCCCATTTCAACGTTTCCAAGTATCTTGACCACTTTCGCAACATGAGGTCATGAGCATTGTCATGCTGCAAAATCACTTTATCGTGTCTCTCGTATTGCGGCCGTTTGTCTTTCAATGCTCGGCTCAAACGCATCAATTGCGTTCGATACTGATCGCCTGTGATTGTTTCAGTCGATTTTAATAGCTCATAATACACTACGCCTGGTCCCATCAAATACAGAGCATGATCTTGGAGCCGTGAATATTCGGTTTGGCCGTCGACGTAAAAGCATGGCCGGAACTCCCCATGATTTTCTGCGCTTGGGGTTATCGTAATGAATCCATTTTTCGTCCTCAGTCACAATGCGATGCAGAAATCCCTTCCGTCTTTGCCTTTCAAGCAGCTATTCACAAGCAAACAAACGCCGTTCAACATCTCTCGGCTTCAACTCGTACGGCACTCAATTTCCTAGCTTCTGAATCATTCCCATGGCTTTGAAGCGTTTTGAAATGGCTGGTTGAGTCACTTCCAATGATCGTGCCAATTCTTTTTGTTTATGACACGAGTCTTGATCAAGTAATGCCTCCAATTCTGCATCTTCGAAACCTTCTCTCTTCCATCGCTATGCCGGTCTTCGATGTCAAAATCACCGTTCTTGAAGCGTTGAAACTACTCACGACACGTTCTTTCACTAATAGCGGCCTTACCATAAGTATTTGAGAGCATTCGATGAGCCTCAGCCACAGATTTCTTCATATTGAAACAGAAAATTAAAACCTCCCGCAAATGACGAGAATTTGGCTCGTAAACTGACATTTTCAATCGAGAATAACTTTATGATGCAGACACAAATCGACTAATGTTTCTATGGAGTTATGTTGACAGATGCCCAAGTTTATTGTATAACGTCTATGATCTATTTATTTCGACTACCACTTACCGCTAAAGCCATCTATAGGAAAAAAACGGCGGAAGCAAAGTTGTACACCTAATATTTTTATAGTTAAATGTATTATGAATAATAGTATTTTATAATATTAGAATAACAGAATACTTTTAAACATAGTGAGAGACACAGGTCAAAAACTTTTAACGATTTCAGATTAGTTTCGTCCCTGAGACCGAGTATTGCGTATTACAACAAAATAGCAGTGAAGTTAGGAATAGAAATAGTAATGGGCGTGAATATCGACATATTTCAATTTCAGGCCAAAAGATTTCGACTTTGACAAGACTTTGGACAACTCTGGTATAATAATTTATTTTATAAAAAAAAAAAGAACAATTCTACCATCGTAATTCAAATGATGCTATTTACCAGCTCTACAACGTCGTGTTGGTAATTCAGAAACTTGATACCACCTTTCCTCCTTGAAATCATAACATTCAACACTCCTGATCGCCTTTGGAGCTTGGCCGCCAACAACTAATAATACTTTAGGTAATCCTCTCGGTTGTCTTGGTTTGGTACGCGGCGTTTTAAATAATGACTTTTGCTCACCCTTCAGTAAATGATATTTTAAGGCTTCGATCAAAAAATCCTTGCCTGTGGAAATTAAGGGATACATATATCTCTTCTTTTAACATGCACATCATAATCAAACTTACATTGCAAATTAGCTTTGAGAAGCGGTTCCTCTTCCACACGTTGCACTAAATACTCTTGAGAAAGCAAAGGCAAGCGCACGTGTTCCATTAACAACGCCAAATCGTTCTGTCTCTTTTCGAGGTCGTGGTGTACCCATGAAATAACACATTCAAATACTTTCTCTTCAGAAGGCACCATTAAACGATCGCTACAGATAAGTTTAGCCACTTGTTCAGGTTCCAATGTTAAAAATTCTTCTGCGTCCACCACTTCTCTACAATCGATATTGAGACATTCGATATTAATACAATCGCATAATATATAATCTAACTAAGAGGATCAGAATTTGAGATGCGACTTACGAAAAATGCTGTTCAATATAACTGTCTGCGTGCGTCAACAACTCGAGGCACCCATGCAGATCTGCAAACGCTCTAATACCGAGACAATTAGACGGATGTAATTGAGCTTGTAAGAAATCGCAACAGGCATCTCGTACATCCGTTAATTGTAACAAGTTTGCAGCAGGTAGAAGTACCTGTACGTTATCCTCTGTAACGTGGACTTCTGCAGAGTAAACATAATCTACTAATAATTCTAATGCCGAATAATCCACGCCTTGCAACGTTATTCTCTGTTGATCGCGTTCCTCAAAACTTGTAAACATGGCGTAAAAGTAAGGACTGCATGCAGCGAGAACCATTTTGTGAGCCGGTACTTCCATACCACCATCCGCTACTAAGATGACATCGCAGAGTAAATTTTTCCTAAAAATCATAGCATATTATTTAAATCTATACTTATAAAATACTTATAAAATTTATTTTATAAATTTTTGGTAATACAGTAATACGTATGTAACAACAACATGTAAAAGATAATATAAATATATTTTTTAAAGAAATGAAAGAATGGTATATCTGAACACGCACGCACACACATACACGCACACATATAAGGTTTAGTTATATAAAGATATATGCCTAATTACTTCAATATCTAATAAAGGTAACAAAAATATATATACTTTCTCATCTCGTTGATGACATCAAAAGCTCTGTTCGTGTGATGATGATTCCTATATGGTGGTTTATCCTTCCCATTCTCACGAGGAACATGCTTCTGCGAACTCTCGTCCAGAGAATTTTGGCTGGCATAGCGAAGTAACAAACAGCTGTAATGATGAAAGAGACGAACACTTATAACTCTGACTATAGCAGTTTTATTCATCTGTTTTATATTTCAGTATTTTCAACTCCGGCAGAGCAGTCAAATATTAAAAAAAATTATAATAATTTATAACGAATTTGTTATCCATCATTTTTGTTAAAAGCCATTTTGTAGTACAAAGATACAAATTATGAAAACCTTATAAAAGATTTCGTTCTGAACCAGCAACGAGACATGTTATGTGCCACGCCATTTGTTAATGTCACGTTTTTAATGTAATTTTTCTACACGTTTTTTTCTAAACATTTCTGATAAATCTTGTTTCCTGCTCCTGACTTATTTGTTTTCTCCTATTGTTATTAATCCTTTTTTTATCTACCCTTAAGACCCGGCTCGAATATTCAGTCGTACAGATATCTTACGACTCATCCCTAAATTCGAACGGATTTCCTATTGAACTCACTATCATGAGTTATCGATAGTCACATATCTCGATTTCTTTCCTCCCCATCATGTACAGGGTTGGCCATATTCGACGGAAAGATGTTTTTTTTTCAATCATGGGAAAGAGATGTTAGATCGAGTAACGACGTTTCCCATGATTGAAAAAAAAACATCTTTCCGTCGAATATGGCCAACCCTGTATATTTTTGGTATTCAAAAATGTCGTTATTGATTAAAATTTATCGGAATCTCCATCTCTTTTATCACAGTGAAGATCCTTCTAGTTCTCTCTGATCGAGTCAGCCTGTTCTCGTAAGCTACCAATAACACATCTCCAACTTAGTCTATAAACCTGTATCATCATTGAATAAAGTTCAAAAGACAGTTGTCAAATCTTTTTAATACTTTACATATTATGATGCGTCTCGCTCGTAATAGTGGCAGCGGTACCCAACTGTCTATAGAAGATTACGGGCTAATCAACCTTGCTTTGGAATCAGCTCCAAATAAGACAGAACAAAGAGATACATTGTCGGAAGAAGTCTGAATCGAGAAAACCTCACAATCCACTGACGCTGAGAAGATTGATGGTAGTTCCTATTGGTAAGTGCAGCGGATACAATATCATTCCTGCGACCCAGATATCCCTCCGATAAAACTTTGACGGACTACGATTCATTCAAAAAAAAAAAAAAAAAGGTATTGAAGACTAGGTTACCGCAAATGTTAACAAAACAGCGAGAAAGCGGCGTAAAGCGTCTTCAACGGAACATGACAGTCTCTTCTGGACAGAGCCGACAGCAACGATAAGAAATTTATTTCGTAAACGATCAACACGAAAAAAGGCTCATCGAACTTTGGACATCTCAGTCATTGAATCTTGAACATCTCAGACATCGAATCTTCGACAAACATCAGACACCCATTAATCATGCAGTATATTAATACTTCTAATGTAAATCTTGAACTATCGAAATCCTAGCGTTTCCTAGCGTCATTATAAGCCAGATACTTCAAACGAAAGTAATTCGACAGCTTCGAATCAGATTACATATTTCCATCATTAATCATAAACAATCAGGCGTCACAGTTAGAATCTCACATCGAAAATATTCACGTAAATAGAGACCAATAAAGTCAAAGATCCTCGACTTCGACAACTAACAGTTACTTTTCCGTTCGCCATAGTTTGAATCTCTTATCTGTTTTTAATGGTAAAAATATTCACGGTTCATCAATTCACAACTGATTGTAAAGGAGTTTTAGAATTCGTAGTGCTCAAAGAAAGATTATTTTTCTTTAGAGCGATCCTTCAAACTAAATTAACGGGCAATGCTGCGTTAGGTAGATTTATATACACAATAACGAATTTTGAGGAATTACGTGAAACACTTATAAAAGAATTCGGCAATTATACAACGTTTCGAACAGTGTGAATTAGAAATAAGTAACTTTAGGCAGAACAGAGATGAATCTACTAAAAAATATATTATTAGAAAGTTATTAGAAAAAAGAAAGTTAATAAAGAATTAGAAAGTTAAATTCCGATATGATCATTGCAATCTCCAATTATCCTGATCAGAAATAAGAGTTTTTGCAATCAATAAATTAATAGACCACTTTAAAGGACTTCATAAAAATGTCAGTTATCTTCTAGCACAAAAGTTTAATACTTTGGAAGATGCAATAGAGGGAACCATAAGATTTATTAGAAAATCGCAATACCACGCGAAAAAATTTAAAGAAAATAGATTTAATCAAATTATATAACGTGTAATTATTGCAAAAAGATAGGTCATTCTAAAAACGAATGTAGGAAAATGATTTTTTATACACGAAATAGAAATAAAAATCATAATTTTCAATATAGTAATAATAGATGTGATTCTATGCGAAATTTGGATAGCAATTCTGGAAATGGATTCAACAATATTCAAGCTAATAGATATCAGATGCATAATAGACATAATTATAATAATCGTTATAATTCGAATAATTCAAATAATTATCGTCAAAACAATACTCAATCTAATCAAAGTTTAAACTACCAAGGCCAAGCGAAAAGCGCGCAACGCCAAGACCAGTCTTCGAATCGCGCAAATCCAGTTCACCTGATAGAACCGGAATTCGAACATATACAGTCAGAGCAAATTCCCGAAATGTTATCTCCATTCCCTTTGACGAACTCAGAAAGAATTCACCTAACAGATAGATTCTTGTTAGACACGGGAGCCAACATAAATATCATAAAAGCAAATGCTTTACTCCGTGACACGTTAGTATACCAAAGCAATAAAGTTGAAATACAAGGCATTACAGAAGAAAAACAGCATTCCCGGAATTGCATATTAAAACGGCATTCACGAATTTCACGTAGTACCGAGTAAATTTCTATTAAAAGAACAAGAAATTCCAGGTTCGACCTTTCTTTTCACCTTGAAAATGCGAAAATAGATTTTGAAAAACAAACGGTTACAATCCGGAATAATAAAGTATAATCATTAAAATACAGTAATTTAATAACTGAGGAATCCTGCGAAACGCATAATCTGTATATAGAAAGCACCCGTGGAAGCTTCAAGAATATTAATCAAAATATTAGGGGTTTGCATTAAAATCCGCTGTTTTTTCTTTATATTTGAGCACTTATAATATTTCAATAACAAAATATATGAATACCTCAATCAAAGTATTTTCTCTCGGAAGTTATGACTTTTTGCCACTTTTCAGGCAGAAGTTGAATTCCACGACGAAAGAATAGTCTGTCTTTTGAGTCAATCCATTCAGCAACCCAATTTTCAACTTCGCTATAATTATGGAAGTGTGTATCTTCTAGAGCATGTTGCATCGAACGGAACAGATGATAATCGCTTGGTGCTAAGTCCGGAGAATACGCTGGGTACGGGAGAACCTCCTATTCGAGATCTATCAGTGTTTGTTTCACAGCTATAGCAACATACAGCCGAGCGTTATCATGGAGTAAAATCACCTTTCGACGATTTGATGCAATTGATGGTCGTTTTTGCATCAAATTATCATTCAAACGTTCCAATTGTTGTTGATAACGTTCGGTGGTGATTGTTTCGGTTTAAGCAGCTCATAATACACGACATTCCATATCCCACCAAATACAGAGCATTGCTTTGTGACCGTGGATATTTCGCTTTGGAGTCGATATTGATGGTTGGCCAGGATCAACCCATGATTCTTTGCGTTTTGGGTTGTTGAAAAAGATCCATTTTTCATCGCCGGTCACGATACGCCACAAGAAACTCTTCTTATTATGCTTTGCAAGCAAAGAAATTGAGATGTTTAAACGGTTAGCAATGGCATTTTTGGTCAATTCATGTGGCTGTCATTTTCCTTCTTTCTGAATCTTTCCCATAGCTTGTAAACGTCGAAAAATAGTTGATTTATCGACTTTCAGTTTGTCATTTTCCTTCTTTCTGAATCTTTCCCATAGCTTGTAAACGTCGAAAAATAGTTGATTTATCGACTTTCAGTTGTTGAGACAATTCTTTGAGTGTTTGAGCTGGATTTTCTTCCAATAGAGCTTGCAGTTGATCATCTTCGAATTTTTTCGGTTGACCTGTTCGTTGTTTGTCATGAACGTCACAATCACCACTTTTGAATCGTCGAAACCAGTCTCTACATACTGTTTCCGATGGAGCAGATTCACCATAAATTTCCGCAAGCAATCGATGAGTTTCAGCTGCACTTTTTTTCAAATCAAAATAGTGTAAAAGTACACATCGGAAAAACAACTTATCACGTTCCATTTTAATTCAGTTATAGAAAAGCACATATGTAAACAAGGATGACGTCTGTTGACTGAATTTTAGTAGGAAATGTTCACATTTAAAAATGATATAAGTAGCAGATGTCTCTGACCATAGCATACGCAGTTACTGCCATCTAAACGTGAACAGTGGCTTTTAATGCAAACCCCTAATAATATTGATATTGGGTTAATAAATCAACAAGAAATAATGCAAGGTATTTTTCTTGTGATAGCGTTGTAAAAATAAACAACGGTAACGCACGTACACACTTAATTAATACGACAGAGGAAGAATTGAATATTGAGACACCTGTAATTAATGTAGAGCTAGTGTTAATTGACACGAACCCAAGGGACAATCTTACATTCGCAATAAATTCGGTAATCTCGAATAACTTAATGGACAGATCAAAAATATTGAAGGAAAGTCTACGATTAGATCATTCTTTAAATAAAGAAGAAAAACTTTCGATACTGCCAATTGAAAATTATAATGATATATTTCATTTACCGAGAAAAAAATTAAAAGGGACAAATAAAATTACACATTCTATTCTTACTAAGGGTAATGTTCCTATAGTTGTCAAACAATATAGATAGCCTCCCATTTCATAAAGAAGAAATTAAAGAACAAATTAATAAATTACTTGAACAGGATATTATTCAACCTTTTTTTTCGCCATTCAATGCTCCACTATGGGTAGTACTAAGGAAACCTGATGCTAATGGTAATAAACAGTGGAGATTAGTAATAAATTTTCGTAAATTAAATGATAAGA